GCTCTGTGCAAAGCTGTGCACGTGCATGCAGTCCGTGCAAAGCCGTGCAAACTTGTGCATGCCGTGCAAAGCCGTGCACGTGCTCTGTGCAAAGCCGTGCACACTCACGCGTGCCGTGCAAAGCCATGCAAGGTGCATGTTCTTGTGCAAAGCCGTGCACACTCACGTGTGCCATGCAAAGCCATGCAAGGTGCATGTTCTTGTGCAAAGCCGTGCACACTCACGCGTGCCGTGCAAAGCCGCGCACGTGCTCGGTGCAAAGCCGTGCACACTCACGCGTGCCGTGCAAAGCCATGCAAGGTGCACGCTCTTGTGCAGAGCCGTGCACACTCACGCGTGCCGTGCAAAGGCGCGCACGTGCTCGGTGCAAAGCCGTGCACGTGCGCGCGCTCCGTGCCAAGCGCGCGGGCTCGTGCTGTCCGCGCGGAGCGGTGCCCGCCGTGCCCGTGGGCCGCGTCCCCGCGGGCGCTGGTGCCGCACGGCGTCGGCTCCGTCCTGCCGTGCCACCCCCGGGAGCCCATCGAGGCCGGACGGGGCGCCCGCGCGGTCTGCACCCCCGTGCATGGGTGCCTGGCGCGACCGGCGAGCCCAGCCCCCGCCGCGGGGCCCAGGCGTCCGGGCAGCGCCCCTGCCATGGGGCCCGGGCGTCCGGGCGGCCGCGCCCGCCCCAAGGGCCCTCGTGCGCGGCCGTGCCCACCCCGAGGGCTCTCGAGCGCCGGGCTCGGCGGCGCCGCGGCTGCTTCAAAGGGTGCCCAGGAATGCGCCCGCACCCATGGGTGCTGCGGGGCAGGCGTAGGGCAGGCACATGGGGGATGGTGCCCATGGCAGGGCTGGCGTGGGGACGGGGGATGTAGGGAACATGGGGGACGTGGTGCTCGTGGGGGACAGGGACACAGAGCCACAGGGACACGGTGCCCATGGGGAAAACGGGGACACAATGCCCATGGGGACCAGGACCTGGGGGGTGCAGGGACACGGTGCCCATGGGGAAAACGGGGACACAATGCCCATGGGGACCAGGACCTGGGGGGTGCAGGGACACGGTGCCACCCGTGCCCCCCACCTCAACCTCTCTCCCCCCAGGTGGCAGCCGGCTCCGAGGACACCTGGGGGGTCCGGTGTCCCCTCCAACATGGTCCCCCCCATTGTCCCCCAGCACTGTCCCCACATGGCCACTGTCCCCACTTCCCCCTGCACAGCAAAGCTTTGGTATCGCAGGAGCCTGAGCGGGTGCCACCAATGGGGACACCGGGAGGGGACACCGGGGTGGTGCCAGCGCGGTGTCCCCAGGGTGCCAGTGTCCCTGGGCGCCGGTGTCCCCAGGGCGCCGGTGTCCCCGGGGCGCACGTGTCCCCCGGCGCTGGCAGCCACCCAGCCCGTCCCCGCGGGGCTATAAGAGCCCCCGCGCGCGCGGGCGCCGCAGCCGCCACCATGGCCCTGTCACCGCCGCCACCGCTGCCCGCCCTGCTGCTCGCCCTGCTCTGCCTCCCCACAGGTGGGACCCCCCGAGCTGGGGGTGCCCCACGGCTGGGAGCACCCCCAAAATGCCCCCCCCATAGCTGCCCCCTCCCCATAGCTAGGTGCCCCTTCATGGCTCAGTGCCCCCCATAACTGGGTGCCACCCTCACCCCGCAACTTGGGGGGCCCATGGCGGGGGCAGACACCCAGGGCCCTTCCCATCGGTGGGGGGGATGGGGGGGGGGTCCATTTCAGGACCTGGGAGGGGAGGGGGAGGGAGGCCGGACGCCTGGGCCCCTGGGCTGGACGGCGGGCGCTGACGCTGTCCCAGGGCTGGGGGCGCCGGGGGGGCGCTGTGGGGCCCAGCCCCACGCCGGGTGCCCCAGCTGGGAGATGGAGCCGAGCTGCGGAGCGGGGGGGCTCTGCCCCAGTGCCGAGGTGAGCCCCCCCCCCGAGAACCGTCCCGGGGCTGCCACCCCCCGGCACTGTCCCCTGCTTGTGCCCTCCGCCCATCACGTGCCCCACACCCTGTGCCCCACTCCCAAACCCCAGCCCATGCCCCACACCCTTCCCCTATAGCCATGTCCCCTACCCCACACCTATGCCCCCTACCCTATAGCCAAACCCCATAGCCCTGCCCCACACCCCATAGCTATACCCTATAGCCATGCCCCATACCCATATTCTATAGCCATGCCCCATATTCCTTATCCATACTCTATAATCATACTCTATAATCATGCCCCATTTCCCATAGCTGTGCCCTACAGCCTTGCCCTATATCCTGTGCCCATACCCTATACCCATACCATATATCTATGACCCATACCCCAGATCCTATCCTCATACCCAGTTCCCATACCCACACCCTATACCCATTCTGCACCTCCATGCCCCATACTCTATAGCCATGCCCCATACCCACACCCTATAGCCATACCCCTTGCCCTGTACCCTATAGCCATGCCCCATATTCCATACCCTATAGCCATGCCCC